CTCTTATCGCAATTATCATTCTTCTTATCATTATTTATTACTATTACTATTACTATCATCATCATTATCATTGTCAAATTATTGTTATCATTATCATTAATATCAATATTCTTGTTAATAGTAATAATAATAATAATAATAATAATAATAATGCTACTGCTGTTTATAATAGTAATAATAATGATAATAATAATAGTAATAACAATTAGTAGTAATTATCATCATTATTATGATTATCATTACAATGGTAATGATAATGATAATAATATTGATAGTAATAATTATAATGATGATAATAATACTGATATTAATAATTATAATGATAATGATAATAATAATGACATTGATAGTAATGACGATAATAAAAATATTGACAATATACTAAACATATGATAATAATATTATTGTTATCATTATTATCATCATTGCTACTGTTACTCATCCTATTATTATTACTACTATTATCATTGTTGCTGTTATCATTATCATTGTTTTTATCATTATTGTCATTATTACTTATATCATTATTAGCATTATCATTGTTATCATTAGTATTTTTCTTCTCAGCATTCCATTATGAGTATTAGAAATACTATTGCAATTCATTGATATTATCATACTATACTGTATCATCATCAGCATTTTCATTATCTCATCGAAAAGCGTTTAGCATTATCTTTAACGTTGTTCTAATTATTCTAGTTATCTTTGTCATTAAGTATCATCACTCTCATCACCACTATTATAATTATAATTAGCCCAGAACTCACTTTAACACATATTTGTTAAGGCAGTTACTGCCCTCCTCATTATCATCCTAATTATTATCATTGTTATTGTGTTTTTGTTGCTGTATTGTTATTGTTCTTTCCTTATTATCACTATTATGATATAATCATTATTTTACTTTTAGTTTTAATCATTTCTATTAATGTTTTATCATTATTACTACTACTATCACTATTGCTAATGTTTCTATAATCATTCATTAACATTATTACTGTCATTATCATCATTATCATATTGATCATAATCGTTATCATCATGTTTCTCATTATCATTATCATCATCATTGTTATTACTATTATCTTTATCATTGCAATCCTTATTATCACTATAATTGTTGCTTTGGCTATTATCATAATTACCATCATCACTCATCCTCCTATCATTATGATTGTGATAATCATTATGGTTATAACCATTGTTATGATTATCAGTATCATCATTATAACCATATCATTATTATCATTTTAGCATCACTCTTCCAACAATTGTAAAGCTTTCATCATTATCATTACAGTTACTAATATCATTATTATCAACATCGGTATGATTATTAACATCATTAATAAGAACTGATGTTATTGTTTATTGTACATTATAACTATCATCATTTCATTATCATTATTGTGCTGAAATTAAGTAACGATTTAAGTCATCTAAAATTCCAGTGAATATCAGTATTTGCCTTATACCGGCAGCCCTGTCAGAATCTATTAATTTTTTGTCCTAGCAACCAGGCAACAAACTGCATTTTAAAGGCTTTATGGCCCATTAAGGTTATGCAGATAAAAGTACATTACATTAGAGCTTATCGGTTTGCCTGTGTTATCAGCTTCCTGAAACCACCAGACTTGTCCTTATCAGTGGAATGCCAGACTGCAAAAGTTTCAGTGATAAGGCAACACGTTAATGATATTTTTTTTGGGGGGTAAGGTACTGGTCCTGCAATTACTGTGGATGTTTTGTTCGATGTATTCACACATCTAATCTCTAAAAAGTATGTATATTTATTGTTCGTCATGAATCTGTTTGCTATTGCAAGTGATGTTCACAGTTGCCATCATATGTAGCATCATGACCATTTTCATGACCACTCAAGGTTTGTCAGCACTTCTCATGCATTTCTATGTACTTTAAACCCACACCCAGTGTCATTAAATTCGAAACACAAGTGGATTTGCCAAGATTCCATCTCGGATGGAAATGAATAAGTGAGACAAAAATCAGTTACATAATCTTCTTTCCCATTTCCCATTATTAAGAATCAACTCTTCACTACTTCACACTTCTAGGTGTAAGATTACATGCTCAGCCCATGTTACACGAAGTATATATCATACACGTAGGTTTCGGCAAGTCTGCTGCTGTTCCCAAACAAGCGGACAGTGCGTACCAGCTGAATGAGCATGTTCTGAACGCGTCGCCGCAGCCTCAGGGGTTGCGAATTCGTAATAAAGAGAAACATGATTATTTATGAAATATTATATTTTTTCATGATAACGATCTTGTATTTACAGTAGTAAAATCGGTAACTAAACTGCTCAAACAACTATAAAACCAATCTTTATGTCAATGACACAAGTACAGAAATGACATTCACCAATTAATATCCATCGCTCAGTTTCCTCGGACAGCTCTTTGCTGCGTTGAATCGTGTTGGACGAGCGAAACGCGTTTAATTCAGGATGCTGTTCAGGAGTTTCATAGAAAAGTATGCTTGTAAATTTTGTAGTAAAGTAGTTGAGAAAAACTCAGCACATAATTCTTCGTTGAAACGCTGGTTCATATTTGATTTAAAACGTCAACTTGTGTGACCCTGACCATGTAATTTTTGTTTCACTAACCTGGAACTTCAAAGATTCCTCGTGGGATTACATTGGGTTTTATACGCATTACCACAAGTTATTTCCTTTATCAGAATATTTGATCATTTGTGTAAATATATATATTCATTTTCATAATAAACACTAAGTATGAAAATTCCAAGACGATCGATGTTAATGCCGAAAATAACTCAAATTGGCAACTCAAGCGATGACACCCGTGAAGTTCATGACGGACACGTGACGTAGTAGTACATGATTGGTGGGATTAACTTATCCCTTCTGCGCATGTGCAGGATTATTTTTATTATTATTATTTTTTTTATTAAAGCCTGGTCCAGAGGTGCATTAATAGTTGATCCTAGACGCTGCCAATGGACATGCGCACTAAAGATCTGGATTAAACTTTAATACTAGATTAATTAACTTTTATGGCACGTACAGAAGACGCTCTAAGACAGTTTCAAATTTCAAGTCCGTTTGTTTGCTCCGCCAAATTTCTTTATTCATTTACATTGATATACACTATTTACTTTTACTGATAAATAATCTTGATATACAGCAGTGTGAAAGTTTGCTATTCTTACAAAATATATAGTTAAATTGATGGTGAACACAGAAAGAATGGTTGTGTAATAAGCAATGGGTAGAGGAAAGACGAAAATCGCGAAATAAAATCTTAAAATCTTTAAAATTGCATTTTCTGCATACGGTATTCATTATTTCATAAATAAATTATCTCATGCTAAATTTCGTCATTTATCTAATTACCCACCCTTCGAACTCGACCCTTTGATGCTTAATTGCCTGTGCGAGAATTTGATTGTTACAGTAAATCTGCGACATGATTTTAATCTAAATTAAAAATAAAATGAACTCATGTCAACACTTGCTCCCTCCCCAAAGCTATATACTTGCTGCAAAGCCTTAGTGAAGGTTAGAAGGAGCCGTGAAGAAGAGAGTAAAAAAAATAAGAACCTATGCCCTTCAGAATGTTAATTAGCTCACATGCGATTAGCTGAGGCGGATGTGAAGATCTTTGAAGTGAGATAGCATTATCTATCTATCTTGCCTTACAACGTATCTATCGATCTGCACAAATTGTGGAAAAACGAGTGAAATATGAAATAAAAACTCCTTCCACCTTACGACAGAGCTTATAAGTGGGAAAAAAGCAAGGAATGACTCCTTGGCTCCTCTCATTGCAACATCCGAAACAGCGAGGGTTGCAAGGTGCGTGATGCGAGAGTGCAACAAAGCAGAGAGAGAGAGAGAGAGGGATGTGTGTGTGTGTGTGTGTGTGTTGTGTGTGTGTGTGTGTGTGT